AGCACTGGGACAGGAAATAGAATTTACAAAGAACTAAAAAAAAAAAAAGAATTTACAAAGAACTCATAAAATCAGACCCCTCTCCAAATAGAAAACCCAATCAATAAATGGGCAAGTGAAATGAAGAGACCCTTCTCAGAAGAAGTACAAATGGCCAATAAAGGGCCGGGGATTTAGCTCAGTGGTTCTGTCACTTGTCTTCCAAGCGCAAGGACCCGAGTTCGATCCCTGGTACCAAAAACAAAAAAAACAAAACAAAAAAACCCAAAAAACAAATGGCCAATAAATACATGAAAAAAATGTTCAACATCTCCAGTCATTAGAGAAATGCAAATTAAAACAACATTGTGATTCCATCTACTCCAGAAAGAATGGTTACCATTTAAAAAAAACAAACAAAAAACAAAACAAATGCTGGCAACCACTGTGGAAATCAGTATGGAGATGGCTCAAAAAACTAACACTAGACATTCTACTCAACCCAGCTATTCCCCTTCTTGGTATCTTCCCCAAAGAATTTAAAACATCGTAATACAACGATACACACACACCCATGTTTGTGCCAGCACACTCACAATAGCTAAACCTTAGAAGTAGCCTATATGTCCATCAGTAGATGGCTGGATAAAGAAAACGTGATACTGTATTTATATACAATGGTGTACTGCTCTGCTATAAAGAAGGGTGCATTTGAATCATTTGTAGGAAAATGGATGGACCTTGAGACCGTAATGTTAAGTGAAATAAATCAGACACACAAGCTTCAATATCATCACAGAATTTCTCTCATGTGAGAAGCACAAAGTATAAACAATTTTAAAAATAAAAGACAATAGGAAACAGAGAGATAGATGTTTTGCAAATGGGAAGGGGATTCAGAGATGGAGGGAGAGGGGAGGGTGGAGGAGAGGGGAACGAAGAGAATTCAGCTGCACCCTGAGATGAGGGTAAGCACCACGCACTGCAAACACGTACTAAGAAAAGAGTGAAAATTTTGCTTGAGATCCTGAAACACTACAGATAAATGTGGAGCTGCTGCTTGGAGTTAAAAGAGTTCTTCACGGAGAGGGATGGCACAGTTAGAAAAGCCAGAAGAAATGGCCCCAGCAAGTCTCGACAAAGACGGCACATTAAGGCTGAGCCCTTTCTTTCTTTCTCTTTTTCTTTCTTCTTTCTCTCTCTCTCTCTTTCTTTCTTTCTTTCTGTCTGTCTGTCTGCCTGCCTGGCTGCCTGCCTGGCTGCCTGCCTGCCTTTCTTTCTTTCTGTCTGCCTTTCTTTCTTTCTTTCTTTCTTTCTTTCTTTCTTTCTTTCTTTCTTTCTTTCTTTCTTTCTTTCTTTCTCTCTCTCTCTCTCTCTC